CCTCTGATGCTGCTTGGCCTGCTGTGTTCATCCAGCTCTACACCTTGGTGCCACGGTACTAATATGGCTGGTCCGGGTGAGGCTCTGGTTAATGGTAATCTCCAGCATGTTGACAGCAGTGGTGGAGGGGAAAAAGGAGTGTACAGGAGAGACAGGTCACGGAGGAGAGGAAACACAGTGGTGGGCGGACGGTGGTGTGTGGGGATGGTGAGCCCGTGAGAATGGGGTGGGGAGGGGTGAACATGATATTGGGAGGGCGGGGGTGAGGCAAGCACGCAAAGTGAGGGGGTGGGGACAGCGCACGGGGGCTGCTGGCCGGGGGGTGGAGGGGATGTTGTGAGCACACGGAGGTAATGAGCAGACAGGGGCAGACAAAACTATTCACAATTAACATCTTGGACTATGCAATTCTATCCAGCAATACACAAGAGTTTTGGATTATTTTAGAATTTTTCTGACTCGTCTTACACAGGCAAATACAGAGCACTCAACAAATCCATCCCAGGTTCACCTGGCACCGTTTGTGATGAATTCATGACACCAGACTGAATTCCAAAGCTACGGTTACTCAACATGGGAGTAAGATGATGTGACCAACCAGAACTTGGCCCAGTAAATACTGTGGCCCCTGTCGCTACCACTTGGGAATTTCTGACCTGATTTTACATTCTCCACCTCCCCTGGCAATCACCAAACAATCAATAGGACTGTTGTCTGCTTTATGCAAGGGGCTTAAGTAAACTGCCCCTTTCCAATATTCACATATAAAACAATCCATGTCTCACAGAAGCTCACATCCCAGCAGAGAGCTTGAGAGGGAAGCTGAAAGGCAGATGTGAATATGAAACCTGTTGTTGTGGGACATGCATGCTCAACTTAGTATTAACTAAACAGTGAGTTTCCAGCTTCTGCTTTGGTAAATCAGGAGTTCAAATCGTTCTCCAGAAACTTTAGCAATCTAACCAACATCCCCTTGACATTTAGTGGCAGCACTGTCAACGTTCTTGGGGTTACCATTGAACAGAAACTCAACTGGACTCGCCACATAAACACAGTGGCTACTAGAGTAGGTCAGAGGCTAGGAATACTGCAGCAAGTAACTCACCTTCTTACTCCTCAAATCCTGTCCACCATTTACTAGGCACAAGTCAGGAGTGTGATGGAATACTCCCCACTTGCCTAGATGAGTGCAGCCCCAGCAACGCTCAAGCAGCTCGACACAATCTAGGAAAAGTAGCTCGCTTGATAGGCACCACGTCCACAAACACATGCTGTCTCCACCACCGACGCTCAGTAGCAGCAGTGTGTACTATCTACAAGCTGCACTGCAGAAATTCACTAAAGATTATAGAATCCCTACAGTGTGGAATCAGGCCAATTGGCTCATCAAGTCCACTTCAAACCTCCAAAGAGCAAAACACCCAGACTCGACTCTCTACCCTATCCCCATAACCTTGCATTTTTCATGGCTAATCGACTTAACCTATACATCCCTGGACACTATGGACAATTTAGCATGACCAAACCATCTAATTTGCACATCATTCAACTGTGGAAGGAATCCGAGCACACGGAGGAAACTCATGCAGGCACAGAATGTGCAAACTCCACACAGACAGTCACCCAAGACAGAACTGAACCTGGATCCCTGATGACATGAGGCAGCAGTGCTAACCACTGAGCTATCATGCTGCCCCGATACTTAGGCTGCACGTTCCAAACCCACGACCACTTCTATCTAGAAGAACGAGTGCAGCAGATACATCGGAACACCACCACCACATTCATGTTCCCCTCCAAGTCACACACCATCCTGGCTTGGAAATGTATTGCCGTTCCTTTACTGTCACTGGGTCAAAATCCTGGAATTCCCTCCCTAAGGGCATTGTGGGTCAAACTTCAGCACATGGACTGTAGTGGTTCAAGAAGACAGGTCATCACCATCTTCTCAACGGCAACTAGAGAGAGGCAAGAAGTGCTGGCAGTAAGCCACAAATGAATTAAAAAGAAACAACACAGGCTAAAAGGAGATAAGAAAAGTGTGAAGTAGAACGTTTTCAGAGGAAGAATAAAGACTGCAACTAAAGGGTACAATTCTAAAGGCGATGCAGGAGCAGAGACACCTGGGGTACATGTGTCAAGACAATTAAAAATGACAGTACACGTTAAGAAAATGGTTAAAAAAGACATGCAGGACCCTGGCCGCTATCGAAGCAGAGATTACGGAAGCAAAGAACTTACGATTAAACTTTATATATAACACTGGTTCAGCCTCAACTGTTCTCTGCAGAACATAATTGCAAAACAAAATTCTCTTCATTTCCATGTTAAACATGAGACCCTTTACATTTAAGCTGTCTCTCCTAGTTCCAGTCTCTCCCAAAGGGAAAACGTCCTTTCAGCATCCATCTTGTCAAGTCCCTTCAGGATGTTATAAAAAGAATCACCACTCATTTTTCTAAACTCCAATTAATAACAAGCTGTGCAATCTTTCCTCCAACCTAGCTGTCAGTATTTTGCTTAGTGCAGACCAGTGATCAGGCCTGGACATAACAGGCAACATAGATCTATATACATAGAGTCATATAGATTTACAGCATGGAAACAGACCCTTCGGTCCAACTCATTTGTGCCGACCAGGTAGCCTAAATAAATCTAGTCCCATTGCCAGCATTTGGCACATATCCCTCTAAACCTTTCCTACTCATATGGTCATCCAAATGCCTTTTAAATGCTGTAATTGTACCTACCTCCACCACTTCCTCCAGCAGTTCATTCCATACCCACCAGCTTCTGTGTGAAAAAGATTGCCCCTTAGGTCCCTTTTAAATCTTTCCCCTCTCACGTTAAACCTAAGCCCTCTAGTTTTGGACTCTGCTACGCTGGGGGAGGAGATCTTGACTACTCACCCTATCCATACCTCTCATGATTTTATAAACAGCCATAAGGTCACCCCTCAGCCTCCGATACTCAAGGGAAAATTGCCCCAGCCTATTCAGCCTCTCTCTATAGCTCAAACCCTCCAACCATCACAACATCCTTGTAAATCTTTTCTGCACCTTTTCAAGTTTCACTTTCCTATAGCAGGGAGACCAGAATTGAACGCAGTATTCCAGAAGTGGCCTAAACAATGTCCTGTACAGTTGCAACATGACTTCCCTACTCCTATACTAAATGTACTGACCAATTAAGGCAAGCATACCACAAACCTCCTTCAATACCCTGTCTACATGTGACTCCACTTTCAAGGAACCATAAACTTGCACGTCAGGGTCTCTTTGTTCGTCAACACTCCCCAGGTCCTTACCATTAAGTGTATAAGTGCTGCCTTGATTTGCCCTACGAAAACATAGCACCTCACATTTATCTAGATTAAACTCCATCTGCTGCTCCTTGGACCATCTGATCGACGTCCCGTTGTACTCTAAGGTAACCTTCTTCGCTGTTCGCTACACCACCAATTTTGTGTCATCTGCAAACTTACTAACCACACCTCCTACATTCACATCCAAATTGTTTTATATAAATGGCAAAAAGCAGTGGCCCCGGCACCAATCCTTGCAGCACACTGCTGGTCACAGCCTCCATCACTACCCTCTGTCTCCTACCTTTGAGCTAGCTCTCCCTGCATTCCATATGATCTAACCTTTCTAACCAGTCTACCGTATGGAACCTTGTCGAACACTTTACTGAAGGCTGAACAGACAACATCTACTGCTCTGCCTTCATCAACCTTCTTCATCACTTCTTCAAAAATCTCAACCAAGTTAATGAGACACTATTTCCCATGCACAATGCCGTGTTGACTATCCCTAACAGACTTTGCCTTTCCAAATACATGTAATATCAGATGACATATCTAAGCTGAGACATTAGGAATAATTTAACTATCAATGAAACATATTTTGAGATTTTGGATTTTTGTGACCAAAACAATCCTATTTTAACAAAAAAGGACATTTGTTTTGCAGCGCCCAACTTCCACTCCAGTTGCCATGTTTTTAAAGGTTATATTTCAATTCTATTGGTCAATTAAAGAATCAGGCAATTTAAATGAATATTTAAAAAGAGACATCCACATGTTAAATGCGATTGGGGTTTTGGGCCAGCTGCCCATGACTGAGACTCAACTCTCGTAACCATAGGGTGAGATACAAACAATTCCTTCCTCCCCACCCAATGCCTTGACACTCAGAGCTGCCCAACACAGCAGCTTCCCAGCAGTGGTCACAACAGAACTGTTCAAACCCAAATTCCTCCCTCTTCCATCAGCCATTGAACAAGCTCAGCCAACAGCTGCTGGCAAACCTACCTATTCATTTCTTCCGCATCTACCCCGGCCCGAGCTCACAGCCTTGCTGGGTGGATATGGGATTGTTCAGCTTTGAGATGAAACAGTTAAGTTAACCATCAGTGCAGATGATGTATCGAAACAAAAAAAGAAGTGTGAGAGAGGTAGAAATAAAACCATTGAACTTGGAAGGACACACTCAGGGAGCATTAAGGGAACGGAGTTATAGCTGCAAAGAATTTAATAAAAATGCAGGAAAACTTTAAGGTCAGAGAAAGGAAAAGAAAGTTTTAAAAACGTTGATGAAAGAATAGTGACTTAATAAACATGTGGAGAAGTACCTGGTTGAATACGTACTGTATTGGACACCTGTTATTCCTACTGGTGACACACAGGGCATAGCCTGAACTCTACATCCTTAACAGTGTCCAACAAGAGCCATAATGGGAACACAAAGGGAGCAGATGCAGTTTGATAGCTCGGTATTCATAAGATTCCAGCCCTGGGACATGATGGTTCTTTAACTGCTCTATGAGAGCTAGAAAATACGGATAAATGCCACCAGTCAGCTCCAATCCAGAAATTTAGAATTCGGCAGGTTAATAAAAAGTCTCACCATCTTGAAACACCCTCTCCACATTCAGGCCATAGGTAGCACATGTTTCGTAGTAGGTGCATCGCTTCAGATCGTTGGAGAGTTTCCGGGCCCTGGAGTCGTCGATCACACGTGGATTTGCGGCACTGATGGCATCTGCAGTGGGAGAATATGAACAGCAGATTACCATGTGCTGAGTGCTTAGTGTAGACATAAACCAACCAGGATCCTCAGCACCTCCCTACAGTACAGCCATCTTCAACATGACAAGCATAGCCACATTGGTCTTCAGCAATTGACATCAGGAAAATGTGAACACCGTTGAAATAGGCAGACAAAATCTAATGCAGAGAAGTGCCAAGAGATGGACTTTTGAAGGAAAAATGAGGGGAGGCAACATAACCTAAATGGTACAACTTTACTGGGGACAGAAGGACAGTAACAAAGGATTAAGATAACAAAGGCTTTGAAGGTGGCGGAACAAATTGATGAAGCTATTGTAAAAACATACAGCGGTCTTGACATTATACATAGAAGAAGCGGCTACAAAATAAGGAGTAAAAGCAACTGTCAGATGCTAGATATCTGAAATAAAATCAAAGTGCTGTAGATACTCAGCAGGTCTGGTAGTATCTGTGGAGGGATAAACAACAGGTAATACTTTAAGGGGAGGCAATGGCCTGGTGTTACTAACACTAGACTATTAATCGAGAGACCCTAGTAATGCTTTGTGGACTCAGGTTCAAATCCTGTCATGGCAGGTGGTAGAATTTGGAATTCAATAAATATCCGGAATTAGGAGTTCAATGATGAGGGTGGCACTGCCGCCTCACAGCACCAGGGACCCAGGTCTGATTCCACCCTCGGGCAACCGTCCGTGTGGAGGTTGCAAATTCTCCCCGTGTCTCCGTCAGTTTACTCCGGGTGCTCCAATTTCTTCTCACAGTGTGCAGGTTAGGAGGATTGGCCATGTTAAATTGTCAACAGTGTCCAGGGATGTGCAGGGGAGTTGGATTGGCTATGGGAAATGCAGTTATAGGGACTGGTGGGGGTGGTCTGCTCTTTGGAGAGTCAATATGGATTTGATGGGCCAAACAGCTTGCTTCCACACTGTAGGGATTCTATGACCATGAAACCTTTGTCCATTGTTCAGAAAAATCCATCTAGTTCACTAATGTCCTTCAGGGTAAGAAACTACTGTCTTTACCTGGTCTGACACTTCACTGCCCTCTGGCCAATGAATGCTGGCCTGGACACTGATTAGCATGGTTTTGTGCAGGGGAGGTCGTGCCTCACTAATTTGATCAAGTTTTTTGAGGAGGTGATGAAAATGATTGACAGTGGAAAAGTGGTTGATGTTGTCTACATGGACTTCAGTAAAGCCTTTGACAAGGTCCATCATGGCAGACTGGTACAAAAGGTGAAGTCACATGGTATCAGGGGTGAGCTGGCAAGATGGATACAGAACTGGCTTAATCAAAGGAGACAGAGAGTAGCAGTGGAAGGATGCTTTTTGGAACGAAGGGCTGTGACTAGTGGTGCTCCACTGGGATCAGTGCTGCGACCTTGGCTGTTTGTGATCTACATAAACAATTTGGAGCAAAACGTAGCTGGTCTAATTAGTAAGTTTGAGGATGATACAAAGATTGGTGGAGTTGTGGATAGTGAGGAGGATTGTCAGAGGATACAGCAGGATATAGATCAGTTGGAGGCATAGGCAGAAAAATGGGAGATGGAATTTAATCTGGAAAAATGAGAGGTGATACATTTTGGATGGTCCAGTACAGGTGGAAATTATACAGTGAATGGCAGAACCATAGGGAGTACTGATATGCAGAGGAATCTGGATGTGCAGGTCCACAGATCACTGAAGGTGGCAGCACAGGTAGATAAAGTAGTAAAAAGGGCTTATGGCATGCTTGCCTTCATTGGAAGGGGCATTCAGTATTAGGATATACAAGTTATGCAGCTTTATAGAACTTTAGTTAGGCCACACTTGGAATATTATGTCCGGTGCTGGTCACCACGGTAGAGGACGTAGATGCTTTGGAGAGGGTACAGGAAAGGTTTACTAGGCTCTTGCCAGGTATGGGAGATTTTAAGCTATGAAGAAAGATTGGCTAGATGGGGTTTGTTTTCACTAGAATGCAGGAGATGGAGGGGCGACCTAATAGAAGTTTATAAGATTGTGAATGGCACGAATAGGGTAGAAAGTATGAGGCTTTTTCCCTGGGTGGAGGGAACAATTACTAGGGGACACAGGTTCAAGGTGCGAGGTGGGGTTTGGGGGGGGGGGGGGGGGGGGGGGGGGGGGTGGAATTTAAAAGAGATGTGCGAGGCAAGTTTTTCCACACGAAGCGTGGTTAGTGCCTGGAATGCATTACCAGAGGTGGTGGTGGAAGCAAACACAATAGCAGCATTCAAGAAATACCTGGATGAATACATGAATAGGAAGGACATAGAGGGATATGGATCATGTAAGTGAGGACAGTTTTACTATGGAAAGGCAAAATATAGCGGACCAGGCTTGGAGGGCCGGAGGGCCTGCTCCTGTGCTGTATTGTTCTTTGTTCTTTTGACACCCACATCCCATGAATTAATTTTAAAAAAGTCTAATATGACTTCTTTAGAACTGGACTCAAATGTTAATAAAAACAAGGATATTGCGCTAAAGCATAACTAATCACAGGTTAGATCAGAGCAGGAGAACTGGGCTTAATTCTGGGTAATACACTTTAGGAAGGACACCAAGGCCTTAGAAAGGAGATTTACTCACATGGTATCATGAATGAAGAGACTGATGACGCTGAGTTCCTCAACGCAGAGGAAATTAAGCAGACGTTTGATTGAAAATGCTGCTCATGAACAGACAGATTTAAGATAATTGGCATAGGGACCAGAGTTTGCAATATAGGAACTGGAGGCAGTCATTTACACTCTTTCAGCTTCTCAATGAAATTACATTTGATCTATATTCTAACTGGAGAGACTTCTCATTGTCCTATGATCCTCATTGCCTTTGAGAACAGAAGTCTAACAAGTTCAAAGATTCAAAATGTAACATTTGATTCTGTATCAATCGACATTCGCAGACGATGGTTCAAGACTTTTACCTCCCTTTATGTGCAAGAAACTTTTTCTAATTTCACTCTTGAAAGCTCGGGCTCTAACTTAAGACCATAAAACTAGAGGACATAGGAGCAGAAATTAGGCCATTCGGCCCATTGAATCTGCTCCGCCATTCAATCATGGCTGATAAGTTCCTCAATCCCATTCTCCCGCTTTCTCCTTGTAACCCTTGATAATCAAGAACCTATCTATCTCAGTCTTAAACTTCTAAGGCTATGCCTCCTAATCCAAGATTCTCCAGTCAGAAAAAAATAGTTTTTCTCTATCTACCCTCTCTGTTTCCCTTTATATCACGAAAACTTTGTCCAAATGCGTCCCAGTGTTTGTACTGCCTTATGATTTAATTTTGCAGATCATTTATCATTCTACTAAATCTAAGATGCACACTCTCCAAGGCCAATATATCTTTCCTAAGGTAAAAAGAAATGTTTTTAGGCAGCAAGTTATGATTTGGAATGTACTGTCTGAAAGGTCAGTTTTGGGGGGGGAGGGGGAGGGGGGGGGGTGCTGGTGGGCGGATTCAACAAAACTATCAAAATGGAAATGGACAAGTTATAAAACAAACATTTTCAGTATTATGAGTAAAGAACAGAACAGGAGTGTGGAAATAATTGTTCAGCTCTTTCAAGCAGTTAACAGAGACACAATGAGCCAAATGCCATCTTGTGCTACAAGATTTCATAAAACTTAACAATTAAGCAACAGAACCTTGAAGGCAGTCATCTAATGCAATACCCATAATCAGCCAGCAGAGGGCAGTAGCAACATACAAAACTTAGAAGGTCCAAAGATGTGCAGGCTAGATGGCTTGGCCATGCTAAATTGCCCGTAGTGTTCGGGGATGTGTAGATTAGGCAAGTTATAGGGGCATGGGTCTGGGTGGGATGCTCTGTGGGCCAGTGCGGACTTGTTGGGCCAAAGGGCCTGTTGTTTCGACACTGTAGGGATTCTATGACATTTCATTTGAGGCAGTTGAAAGAAGGCTTACTAGGATGATCTCTCGTACAGAGGGATTGTCTTAAGAGCAAAGGCTAAACACATTGAGATTCTACTCACTGAGTATAGAAAAATGAGATATGAGCTCATTGAAACATATAGGATTCTTAAGGGGCTTGACAGGATAAGGGCTGAGGAGAGGTTTCCCCTCATGGGAGAGTCTGGGACCAGAGGGCATAGTCTCAGAATGAAGGGGCACCAATTTAAGATGAGATGAGGAGGAATTTCACCTCTCAGAGAGAAGTGTGTCTTTGGAACTCCTTGTTGCGGAGAGTGTGGGGGCACACTTCTTGTCTATATTTAAGGCTGAGATAGATAGATTCTTGATCAGTCGGGGAATCAAGGGTTACAGGGAAAACTTTGAAAAGTGGATGTGAAGAATGCCAGATCAGCCATAACCCTATTCAATGATGGAGCAGGCTTGAGGGGCCGAACAGCCTATAGCTGTTCCTAATTCCTATGCTATTATCGTCTCATAACACAGACTTTTGCAATTCTGACAATAAAGTGGAGAACAGCACTTATGGTGTTTAATTTAAATTGAAAAAGCAAACAGATCTGTAGCTAGATACATAGGCTTGAAGTGAGCTGCAAAATGTTCTAGGCAAAGATTTCCTATGATTACGATTTGTAAAAGACTCAAGGCTACAAATAGCATACAGAGCAAATCTGTGAAATGCATTGTAAATAAATGTCATGTTGATGGGCCATCCATTAAAATAAACATTTCCCACAGCAATTCCCAATATTCATTGGGAGATCAAAGCACTGGATACTCACAGGTAGACAACAGTAAGCTGAATTGGTGTGTGCCCACCTATACAATGACCAATGGAAATAGTTTTGCCTATTTACACTATCGAAACCTTTCATGATTCTGAATGCTTTTATTAAACCTCCTCAATCCACTCTGCTCTGCAGGAGAGCTTCTATGAATGGTCATTTTCTCCACAGCTTTCTCAGCAATGTGGTGACTGGATCATCACCCTGATTCCAACAACTGACAATCTACTGCTCTCTGGGTAGAAAATTCAAAGGTTCACAACCAAAGTGAGGAAATTTCATCTCATCTCAGTCAGAAATGGTAGACCTAAGGCTATAGCTTCTAATTTTAGACTCTGCAACCAGAGATAACAGTGTCTCAGTCTCCACCTCATCAAACCCTCTAAGAATTCCAAATATTGTAACAAAATCTCATTCTTCTAAACTCCAGGGAACATTAGCCCAGTACATTCAATCACTCATCATAGGTCAATCACCTCAATCCAGTAATCAATCTAATGAAGTTGTTGTACCCATTGGGAATGGACGCTGAAACGGTACAAAATACTTCAACCACGGTCTCAGCAAAGCCCTATATATTTGTAGTAAATCTTCCTTACTCATATACGCAAGCCGCTTCTAATAAAGGCTAACACACCGATTGTCTTCCTAATGATTTATTCTATCTGCATTTGAACATTTTAGAATTCACATACAAGGAGTCCAATGGCAAATCTTTCAAATAATTAGAGGGAATTGACTAAGAATTACTTGCAAATTATTTAAAGAGACACGGAGAAATTTTTTTACAAAGATGTTAGGATCTGAAACATTTTGTCGCTGAAAAGATGGTGGAACTTGATTCCATAAATAATTTTAAACAGGACTTAAGACACATACATGAGGACAGGAAAGTTCAGAGAGTCAAGGATAAAATGTGCATGAGGGTGTAAGGACACCTGCTCTTTCAGCAAGCCAGCACAGGCATGACATATGAATGGTCTCCTTCTGCGTGATAAGATCGTACAATTCTAATCTTCCTTTCAAAGTGGGTAATTCCAGATTTCCCCGCATCATACACCATCTGCCATTTTGTTTAATGTTTAAATTTAACGTCACTCAGTGCCTAATTAAGGGATCCTGCATCATGAAGGGGATCCTATTTGTCCTTGCTGCCAAACTGCCTCCCCTTGGACTGGCCAGCAGGTCTAGGGGAGGGAGGGGGCGTGAGTGGATTCCCTCAGTAATGTGTCTGTTGGCAGGCTTTCCAACAGCAGGCAATGCTGAGGTCTTGCCAGCTCTCCAGCTGGCAGGCAAAACTCAGTCTCCTCCGTTAAATATTGCCCCCTTTGTCATCCTCTCAGTTTACATTCCTAACAAGCTTTTATGCTATCAGTAAATTCAGATAGATTACTCTGTCTACTCTGAAGTCACCAATATAAATTGAAAATAGCTGGGCGCCCAGCACTGAATCTTGTGATACATGATTCATAACACCTTCCCAGTCCAAAAATAAACCATTCATTCCAATTCCCTGTTTTTAGTTCATCCGTCAATGTCCGAGCCATACTGATACATCCTTTTCATGAACTTAATCTTGCAAGATCAACTCCATATAATACAAGAGACAAAAGACAAGAAACCCAGTAAGTCTAGAGGAAGACAACTGCTCAAACCTGGCATGGCCAAATATTATTTACTGCTTGTGTCTCAATATTCCAGTTCTTGTCCTAAAGTCTGTTCCTATACCATAGAGGATCAATTATAAATCAATATTTCCTTACCTTGCGTTCCAACCAGTACCATTGGCATCTCTGTGGTGCTCCGATAGTTAGCCATCCTGGTGTAGTAATAGTAAACTGCATTGAAGCTGTTCTCATCCTCCAGACTGAAGACAAAGATGACAGCATCCACCCACATTGCAAACTGGAAGGAGTTGAGATCAGTCAGTAAGGAACCGCTGAGGTGGATCAATGCAAAGAACATCGCCTATTCCATTCCCTTCATCACCTATTTGCTAACAGCCCCAAAGATTTCAAACATACTCACCTTCTCAGTCTCAGTCAGGAAGATGAAGGTAATATAAAACAAGGATTCCCTTCAAATAGCAAACACCAAAAGCTAATTGGTGCACTTTCCTTATCTCACTTTTTAAAAAGAATGGCTTTTAGCTTACTAACATCCACCTGACATTTGTAAACATACAGTTTCTCAACTAACTGAAACATAGTAATTGGGACATAAACTGCAAGTGGTACGCTGGGTGCTCTTAATTGCTGACCTCTCTAATCATACGCTATTTTTATGCTAGCAAATAAAAGTTAGGCTCTGTTTATTCTAACTATTTGGCTAGGATACATAATCTCTTGCATTGAGTCCCATAACTTTTGGCCTGTATTCAATGACATGATGTGGTTCCAGCAATTGTACTTGGCAAAATGTGTAATTCTAAAATTCCAAATGCAGTAAAATTACCAGGTTCAGAGTATGTTGACAAAACCATATTACCAAACAGGCACAAGTCTTCATGATAAACAAGCTTTATTATTCTTTCAACTAAATCTCCCCAACCCACCAAGCAGTTGTTCAAGGATTTAAATTATTTACCCTGCTACCCAGTAATACCCATGATGCTGTTTGGTATCTGTGTATTACAATCGGGTGAGACAGGTCACCTAAGCTTTGCCTGACCTTGTCTAGAGGACTTGCTCCATATTCACTCTCAGTCAGAAAAGTGCTCCTGTCACAGGATTCACTTCACGCTTACTCTTTATCTTTACCAGCTAGAGTGGACTGTCAGTGGTTTCATTCAAGCACGTAACATAACTCAGCCTGCATAAGTCTTCAGTCTCTTTGTCAACCCATCAAGCTGCCTCAGGATAAATCCCTTACTGCTTCTTTATTTGAGCCTTTTACAGGTCTGAATTTCAAACTCCTAATTTTCCTAAATCAAAAGATACTTTCAAATTTCACCTATTTTGGATTATAAATGATGTTTTCACATTGTTTCCATTATGACACCAACTCTAAAGCAGCCCGCACACAGAGAACACAACTGCATTCTGAGATTAACTATCTCAAGCCTGCCAGCAAAATAAATAGTCGGTCTCTTTGAAGTTAATGAGTAGATATTTTAAAGGAGATCCGTGTCAACAGTAAAAGTACAAAAACTACTTCAAGCACCTGGAATTAAAGAGCCCTCAACAGTCTCACGCTAGTGAAAGATAGTAAACAGCCATATTGACCAACACAGCCCTATGGTTATCCATTAAAAAAATGACATCCATTCACCAGTACCCTTTAATTTCTCAAACCCCTTCTCATGATTAAGATATTGTACATGACATTGAGAATGTGACACAAGACTGAGGAAATCTCTTTTGTGGTTTCTAAAAAGCTGGTATCAAATTCAGCCTCAATTCTGGGATCAATCCAACTACAAATTCCTGCAGTCCCTCTGAAATCTCTTCTCCATTCACTTCCTTTCCTGTTGAATTCTCCAAACAAATTCAGGTCCCAAATATATTTTCATTCTAGGTCAGCCCCAGTGGAACCAGTGTTGAGACATCATGTGAATCAGGACTGGAAAAAACCATTATCATTAACAAAAGAGAAACTTGCATTAATACAATATTTCTCACAACCAGCAAACATCTCAAGGTGCTTTACAGTCAACGAAATGCTTTAAGTGTTGTCACTGTTGTAAAGTAGGAAATGCAGCAAGATGTGCTTAGCAAGATCCACGAACAGCAATATCATAAAAAGCAAATAATCTATTTCGTGATGCCTACTGAGGGAATAATATCGGCCAGGATGCAGTAGATAATTCCCCTGCTCTTCTTCAAATTAATGCCATGGGATCTTTTACATCCACCTAATCAGGCAGATCAGGCTTCTGTTTTACTTCTCAAATGACACATAGCACTCCCTCAGTACTGCACTGGACCACCTGACTTAATTTTTGCACTCAGACTTGAATCTGGAACCTTGTGATTCAGAGATGTAAGTGCTACTGAGTGATGGCTGACAGAGGGGCCTGGACGCTATACTGGGAATAAGGTCAATGGTCGGAGGTGGTTTAGGAGGAAACCTCATGTCAAGTTCTTTCTGAGCTTCAGTGGAAAGCCAAGTTGTTAATAATCAAGGTAACAGAGCACCAAAGCATATTAATAACATTAAACCACAAGTGTGAGCCTCAATTTTAATGGATGTATGAGTGAGGGGGTGGATAATTTATCACTGTTTCATTTTATTTGATTTAAAGTCAGAAAGCAAAGTGATATCATTCCCCCATCTCAGTCAGGCCATTCTAGATTGTTACTGACTGCACATTTAGCCCTTTCTCTATGGATGCATAGGAAACCAGGAGTGTGCAAGAGATTGTCCAACTACTGCAGGATGACTTCCAACAGACTGACAATAATGCAGAACCAGGGGATGACTCCAAGTATATCCAATTAATCACTAATAAATCCAAGATGAAATTCTGGAGAAGCTTCTTTACTCAATGTGGTGAGAATGTCAAATTTTGCCACAACATGGAAAGGTTGAGGAGAACAGCACAATCACATTCAAAGAGAAGTGAGACAGGCACAAAGGCAAAAAGAAATAGGATAGGTTGACAGGGTTACATGAACTAGGGCAGGGTGCTGTCTTTGTGTACAGTTGTTGGGCCAAGTAGCTAAGTTGTCTTCTTGCTGGAAAATTATTATTTTTTTGAAAAGTTCTAAGACTTTTTTCAGTAAAGATGTGACATTCCTTATAATAAAATATAATACATTGTGATAAAGCTCAAGTGTGTACACCAGGTATGTCAACTTATCCATGCTGGCACTTACTGCTTAAACAGTGCCAAGCCAGGAATAGAAGATGGAAAGAATTGGAGGCATAATCTGTCACTGTTTCATCTTATTTGATATGATTTCAGAAGGCAAAGTGGTATTGGTAAGGCCTGCCTTGAAAATACAGGAATGAGCAAGATAAAAAATCTGGGCGCCTGTTTGTAAATACTCATTATAAGAATAATTTTATTTTGCAAACTGACTCTAGAATAAATTCAGCAATTCCAATGTGTTTTTTTTTTAAATTCCAATGTGTTAACTTGCACATTATCAGATTGGACAGGTACAAAATCCCAATGCTGATGGCAGCAAACTCCAGATTCTTGGAATTTACCTTCTGTCTCTACCCATTCCCGTGTCTGGTGACACCAATGCTTCCCAAGTACAGGAAGTTGGTGGTACAGTGGTATCTTAACTGATTGGCCATCCTTAATGTGCAAAATTGGACAGGTAGGGCAGCCATGATCAAATTGAATGGTGGAGCAGGCTTGAAGGGCCAAATGGTTTACTCCTGTTCTAATTTTTTTTATATTCCTATGCTTGCATCAGGTGCTAGGTGCTCTCTAAACTCATTAACCCACATCATGGAGCAAGTAGTTGCTGCATTCTTACTGCAGAATGCATAAACATCACTCCAAACCATGCCAGCACTGCAAGATTAAGAATTCCCATTCCGTGCTCAATTCTTCAGTGCTAAAACGTCACTAGGAGCAGACTGAGAGAGGAGTCGTCAGTGTGATTGGAGCAGGATAGATTCATTAACTAGAACGGTGGATGGAGAAGAAAGGGTACCAGTGTGAACTGGAGATGCAGCAGTCAGAAGATAGAAGGATGAGAACTGAACTAAGAAAGGGACAAGCAATAAATAATTTATCAGAGTCAAGACAGGGAGATTAGCAATGTAACACTTACAGCTGGCTACTCTGCAAAAAATCTTTGTGATTTTTGCCTATGCCTTCTAGTGAAGATATTTAGCTCATACCACAAGCTAAATAAAGGGGAACAGACAAAGGAAGCGTGGGAGGTAATGCAAGGGGAGAGTGAGAGAATGTACCAAGGAGCTGGGGCATGGGAAGAGAGCAAGCTGGCCAGGTACAGCAGACAGAGAGAGCGAGAGCACATGTGCCATCTGAGAAACAGGACACAAGAGGAATACCTAGGCAAAATGGGGCAAGAGGGAGAGACTGTGAAATTGAGGTGAGAGAGAGCAGGGGAGACAGGCATAAGACACAACTGGGGAAAGTGAACAAGCAGGGAAGGATTGAGAAAAGAGAGGGCGAAACAGTGACAAGGTTCAGGCAAGAAAGATAATAACTCATAAGACAGCAGGGAGAAAAAGGAGTGTTAACACTTTAAAAATATACTGAAGTGCCACACTGCCATATTGTAGCAACAGGATCTCATTTCACTAACTTTAGAAATTTATCATTACTTTAACTTTCCCCTCGTCACTGACTCTTTTCACTTTTTCAAAGACACCCACTCTAGAATGATAAGCCTTGAAAGGATACCTGTCCCACAGATCAAGAGAACTGTGCCAATTGCGTTAACTAAAATCCAGGTTTTTCAACAAGCCTTCCTGAAAATTGATCAGCAGTTAGTTTTACTGCTCACTGGGTCAATAGGTTACAAATGTAATTTCCAGTTCAGTGAAGAACTAGGGGATAAACAATCCCCAATTTGCTGGATCCATACATCTCTCTTAAAATCAATAGCAAACTATTCGTTCAAAACAGCAGAAAGCTCTTAAATCTGAACTATCAGAGCCAGGTAAAGATTTAGTGCAGATTCAAAAGCAGCAATTTTGGAAAGATTGGAAAAGCCTCTAATTCAATAAACTCAGCAATAAAATAAGTGTTGTAAGTATAACAAAGAATTGACCACAAAGTGTCAAATGGATGGCATTTCAGTGATTTGACTTATTCCAATACTGGATGCATTCCAATACTGGATGCATCCCAATCCCCATTTATAGTGCCCTTTTTACAAACCAAAGTTAGTACCAATAAGATCCAATTATGATCACCCTTTCTTATCTAAATCAATGTTAATTTGCCATAATGGAACAATTCCTTACAATCCATTATCACAAGGTATAATAAAGATTTTACTCTTCCCTTAAAAATGATGACAGCAGCAAACTTAAGCAAAACACAGTAATACAGTTTCCCATGCCTGCATGTCTGTGTTTCTTTGCATGTTTTACAACAGAGCAACTCATCCATTGCAGTACCTACCTGTGCCTCTGGAGGCCCCCCTTCATCTCTGATCAGCAGTAGATAACTCTGGCCGTCCACCACAATCTCCTTCTTAAAGCGCCCACCTGCCGCAGAAACAGGTTATTGAGATAGGCAAAATATGGCTGACAGCAGACAGATCAGGTGAAGGCACAAGGTAAAGGTAATACCAACTACAGAGTACATTGACACTGCACTAGCAAAGGATGGATATTTTTGGTAACACAGAGACAGACAGTTGATAATGGCTGAGAAGAGACAGACAAATTGTGATGTGACTAACAATTTGTGTATTCTATACGTAAATTATACAAAGAGTTTTCACAAACATGTATCGAATGCATATAATGATGTGTGGGCCATTGTGAAGCCCACAAACAAATACATCTTGATAAGTAGTAAATTGAATTTATGGCTCCATTAAAGCCAGGACATACAACTCAAAATGTGTTCAAAATTTGTGCTATCTCTCCTTGAACCATTGTTTGGATATTTATAGGAAGCAATGCTTCACAATCACTTGTAAGCATGAGAATGAATCACAGAATTGTTATGGTACAGAAGAAGTCGATTCAATCCCATCATCTCTGAGCAGTTTAACTTGGTGTCAATTTGCTGTCTTTACAGCATAATCCCACACATCATTTCTGTTCAAATGATCAGCCAGTGCTCTCTTGAATGCCTCAAATGAATCACATTTCCATGCAGTTCATTCCAGACCCTAATTACTCAATGTGTGAAAAAAGTCTCTTCTCACCTTGCATTTTCCCTTTTTGTTCGCAAAACACAAACTGCACCCTCTGACGCTTGATCCTATTACAAGTAATTGCAGTTTCTCTACGTTTACTCTGACTCGTCCTTTATGATTGTGAAATCTTCTATCAGATTTTTCCCTCAACTTTCCTCCAATGAAAACCGTCACAACTTCTCTAATGTAATCTCTTAATTGAAGTTTCTCATCCCTGGAATCATTCTCGTAAACCTCTACTCTCTCATGCATCACAACGTTCCTCAAGTGTGGTGCCCAGAACTGTACACAATACTCCAGCAGAGATCTAACCAGTGTACTATCCAAGTTCAGCATAACATTTGAGCCCTTGTACTCCATGCCCCTACTTACCAAGACTAAAATATTGGAGTGTTTTACTGTCAGCTCTACCGATTTATCCTGCCTCAATAAAAAGTTACGCACCTATACATCTAGGTCTCCATGTTCTTGCATACTAGTAAGAGAAGTATCCTTTACTTTATATAGCCTCTCCACGTTCTTTACACCAAACTTTATCATAGAATCATACTGTAGAGAAGAGGGCTTTCTGCCAGTGGAGTCTGTACTGCCAGAAATAGATGATTACTGACACTAGTCTCACTTTCCTGCACTAGATCCATTGTCTTGCAAGTTATGACACTTCAAGTGCTCATCCAAGTTTTGTTTAAAGACGTTGAGGTTTCTCGCCTCATTTACCCTCCCAGGCAGTGCATTCCAGACTCCCACCACACTTCTGGGTGAGAATGTTTTGCCTCATATCCCCTGCTTTTCACTTTCAAATTATGCTCCCCTGTTGTTGACCCTTCAACTAAGGGGAACAGCTGCTTTCTACTTACCCTAACCATGCCCCTCATAACCTTATACACCTCTATCAGTTCCCCCGCAATCTTCTCTGCTGCAAATTAAAAACACCTGACCTTATCCAGCCTCTCTGCATAGCTGAAATGCTCCATCCCAGGCAACATCCTGGTGAACTTCCTTTGCAGCCCCTCCAGGCAATCACATCCACCACTTCAACAGCCTTGGCTTTAATAACCTCTGTCATCTCTACGAAAAGCTCCAGCCAGCTAATTGAACATGACTTTCTTTTTAAAAATATATGATGACTTTTCACAATCAATCCATATTTCTTCCTGTTAATTCTATCCCAAATAATGGCTTCTGGGCATTCCCCCATCACTGAAGTTGAACCAGAGATAGTAGGAACTGCAGATGCTGGAGAATCCGAGACAACAAGGTGCAGAGCTGGATGAACACAGCAGGCCAAGCAGCATC